AAGGGCAAGATTCTTGTCAGTGGCTATAGCGAGCACACTAAACTAAGAGCTGAGATAGCTTCCTGAAACACATGAAGGAAATGAGCAGAAAAACAAGGAGGCCAAAGCTTCCGGTTCTAGGCACTTCGGGAGCCGCAGCTTAAGGTGCAAAACCACGCCACACACAACCAGTCCCGAAAATGGCACGGAAATTGTATCAAGAAACCCCGGTCACAAAGATACAAATATCTTAAGCGGGTGGACCTCAAGTTCCTGAGGAACATGTGCTTTGCCAAGAAGCACAGCGAGAAGGGCCGAAAGAAGATGCAGGCCAGCAACGCCAAGGCCGTGTGTGCACGAGGCCGTCAGGCCCTCGGAAAGCCCAAGGAGGTTAAGCCCAAGATCTAAAAGGTGTCAGCCGCAAGCTCAATCGCCTTGCCTACAGTGCCCACCCCAAGCTTGGGAAGCGTGCTTGTACCCGCATTGCCATGGGGCTCAGGCTGTGCCAGCCAAAGGCCAAGGCCAAGGCACCAACCCAAGGTCCAGGCTGCAGCTCCAGCTTCAGTTCCAGCTCAGGCTTCCAAAAGTGCCCAGGCCCCTACAAAGGCTTCAGAGTAGCTATCTCTGTCTGCCAACGTGAGGACAGAAGGACTGGTACAACCCCCCCGGGGATGCCATCTGCATGGGGCTGGGTCCTCCTGCGCTATTTGTACAAATAAACCTGAGGCAGGATTTGTAAAAAAAAAAAAAGAAGGAAGTCAAAGAGAAAGGTACCTGGATTAGACTGAAGCCCCAGTCTGCTCCACCTAGGGAAGCACACTTTGTGGGAATCAATGGGAAGGAGCCTGAGCTGTTAGGACTTATTCCCTATTAATTCATGCAAAACAGGTGTAAAAAATAGGCCAGGTGTGGTGGCTCACGCATGTAACGCCAGCACTTTGGGAAGCCAAGGCAGGCGGATTACTTAAGGCCAGGAGTTTGAGACCAGCCTGGCCAACATGGTGAAACCCCGTCTCTACTAAAAATACAAAATCAACTGAGCGTGGTGGTGTACAATTGTCAGCTACTTGGGAGGTGGAGGCATGAGAATTCCTTGAACCTGGGAGGCAGAGGTTGCAGTGAGTTGAGATCACGCCACTGCACTCTAGCCTGAGAGAGACTCTGTCTCAAAAAAAAAAAAAAAAAAAAGTCGTTAAAAAAAAAAAAAAGGACCACGGGACTATTTAAAAACACACAAAACAACAACATAAATCAGGCACTGTGGTGTGCACCTATAATCCCAGCTACTAGGGAGGCTAAGGCAGGAGAACAGCTTGAGCCCAGAACACAAGACCCCTCTCAGAGGGGGAAAAAAAAAGATAACATCAATTTAACTATATACTTACGATTTTTGTACTTTTCTGTATGAAGTACCTTTTAAAATTTACATTAAAGCAAAGAAAAATAGACCTCCAATCAAAGAAGCCAATAAAAAACAGTACATACTGTATAATTCCGCTTACAACAATCATACAAAATGCAAATGATAGCATCTAAAAGCAGATCAGTGGCTGTCCGACTGGAGGTTGGGGTGATGAGGAACCTCAAAGGGACACGTGGAGTTGTCTGGGGATAATGGAAACGTTGTGTACTGTGGTAGTGGTTTTCACGAGTGCATGCACACAACTCTCAAAACCCATGGTATTAAATACTTTAAATAGCTGCAGTTTGATTACATGAATTACGCTTTTTGTTTTTTTTTTAATTGGAGACAGAGTCTCACTCTGTCGCCCAGGCTGGAGTGCAGTGGTGCGATCTTGGCTCACTGCAACCAGTGCCTCCCAGGTTCAAGCGATTCTCCTGCCTCAGCCTCCTGAGTAGCTGGGATTACAGGCATTCACCACCACGCCTGGCTAATTTTTGTATTTTTTAGTGGAGATGGGGTTTCACCCTGTTGGCCAGGCTGGTCTAAAACTCCTGGCCTCAAGTAACCCACCCACCTCAGCCTCCCAAAGTGCTGGGATTACAGGTGTGAGCCACCACGCCCAGCCTAATTACATGAATTACACTTAAAGTTGATTTTTAAAAAAGAACATATCCTTACTAAGAGATTAATACAGCTAAGAGGTAGTGAAAGACATTCTGAAGGTAGTAAGAGGCACTGGTACAAATGATCATGCATACATCTTTGAATTTTCGGCCAGGTATGGTGGCTCAAGCCTGTAATCCCAGCACTTTGGGAGGCCGAGACGGGTGGATCACGAGGTCAAGAGATCGAGACCATCCTGGTCAACATGGTGAAACTCCGTCTCTACTAAAAATACAAAACATTAGCTGGGCATGGTGGTGCGTGCCTGTAATCCCAGCTACTCAGGAGGCTGAGGCAAGAGAATCGCCTGAACCCAGGAGGTGGAGGTTGCGGTGAGTTGAGATCTTGCCATTGCACTCCAGCCTGGGTAACAAGAGTGAAACTCTGTCTCAAAACAAACAAACAAACAAACAAACAAAACTTTGAATTTTCTGTTTTATCCTTGTAGAGAGATGTTTTCCTATTTTTCCTAGTAAGCCAAACGCTCTACATTTTTTAGCACAAAAAGATAATCTACATTTTGTAATTTGGCTAGTACGGAGAATATTACTAAAGATTGTTATTGTAAAATAAGTAAAACACATCAATGGCTGGATGTGGTGGGTCCTGCCTGCATCTCAGCACTTTGGAAGGCCGAGGTGGGAAGACTGCTTGAGCCAACTAGTTCAAGACCAGCCTAGACAACACAGTGAGATCTCAGCTCTACAAAAAACAAACAAAATTAGTCGGGTACAGTGACATGTGCCTGCAGTCCCAGCTACTCAGGAGGCAGAGGTGGAAGGACAGCTTGAGCTTGGGAGGTTGAGGCTGAAATGAGCCATGATTGTGCCACTGCACTCAGCCTGGGCAACAGAACGAGACCTTGTCTCAAAAACAAACAAAACACACACACACACACACACACACACACACAAAATCAAATTGCTTGAACAGTAAGATCTAGTTTTTGTTTTAAAAAGGAGCCAAACACATATGTACACACTAAAAACACTGGAAGGGTATACAACAAACATTAATTGAGGTTATTTCAGGATATAGGATTGTTAGTGATTTGATTTTTACTTCCTTCTTTACACCTTTCTGTTGTGTAAAAACAAGGAATATGACTGTTATAGTCAGGGGGGAAAAACCCATCACTGTTATTTCTGTAATAAAAGCAACATATGGCCATGTGTCCTTGCTCTGGCAGGATCTGATGAGAGAGGGCTTCCTTTTGTTCATGCTGTCTGGTTACTAACCAGAAAAGTCAAGTTGTACACGGTAACGAAAGAAACCAGGCTAAGAGTCTTAAACCTCGTGTTCACGCTTCGACTGTGCCAGTATTTGCTACCCTAAAGTCATTTGCTCTCTTGGATCTTGATTTCCTTATCTGTACAGGACAATGGTTGGATTTAATAACTGCTAAAAGTGCCTGCTTCTTCGTTTTCAAAAATCTCAACTCTGATGCAAGCCCACAGGAATGATGGTAACTGATTTTGTTTTAAAAGACTGGGTGGGAAGTCGCAGGGAGGATGCCCCCACCACCCTGCATCCACCACGAACCACTTTCCATCAAGGTAGGAAGCACATCCACTTTCCGTCTTCCTGCATGCAAAAATGAAAGCCATTCTAAGTTCAGACACAAGACCAGCAGGGGCTTCTATTAGCAGAAGCTTTTCCAAAGCCCTCACGTCAATCTAGACTCCTTCTTCTCACCCAGCACTCTTTGTTCTGGGCAGGGTTTCACAGCTTCTCCATGACCACCAAAAACATCCAGTCACTTAAAAACAGGTTTGAAAGAGCTCAGACCGGCCCTGAGCAATTAGGCATTCATGATGCCCCCTGCTGTTGAATGGTAATTAGTTTAATGAAGGACTATTAAAAACACATAAAAATCTCAACCAACAAAAATAAACAAAGCAACCAAAGCCAGCGTCTTACATGGATAAGTGGACCTGTATGTAATGCAATGCTAACGCAAAGAATGCCCCACAAAACATGCACGTGTGCTTCCCAGGAGCCCAAGCCTTTCATTGGCTTTAATTTTTTAAAAAGCTCACTGCATATCGTGACCACACATATATACACAATGTTAATTCTAGAAAGTGGATTTAACTTCCAACTAGAAAATAAGATAGACAATTAAGAAGAAAGCATAGACAGGCATCCTTTCCACCTTTGCAGCTCCTACCCAACAAAGACGGTGACTGGTGGATTGCCTAACCTCCTCCCCAGGTGCTCAAATTTCTGAAGAGTGGCTTTTTGCTGCAAAAGAGATGACTCCAAGTGGCTCAAAAGGAGCATTCACACTGAGAACTTTTTATTTCCCCTATTCCCCCCACTCTTTTTGGTAGATGGTAGTGACCTGAAGGCAACTTGGATTGTGAGAGGGAAGGAGCAGGTAGCTGCTGCAGCACGACTCCCTGCTGGCTGTTCCCCACGTCCTGGCAGAGAGAGGGACGGGCGCCTAAGGCTGCAAAAGCCAGAAGCCAAGTCAGAAGCCTAGGAGTGAGGAGCTCCCAGCACGTTAGGAGGCTGAGGGAGGTGAATCACTTCGCAGGCCACTGGCCAATGAAGGGCGCTTCTTTAATCAGATCTTCTCCCTCTAGAGGGCAAAGACAAAACTGTTCTTAGAAAAACCTCTCCCAGCAGCAGATTCTCTTTTTTCCTTAACAAGAACAACCAGCCAAACTAGTAGAGTAGCATAATTCAGAGTGAACAAGATCCTCTCCCTGCTCAGAATGCAGTGTAGGAGAAAAACATGAATGAATAGAATCATTTGCTCCTGGGTGAAACCCTACCATCAAGGAAATCCCATGCTTTCCAAATATCAATGCTGCCAACTTCCCAAAGACCGAAACATCACAATTCCCCCATATTTACAAGTAGAAGCAAGCCACGAGTAAGAGAGGAACTGAACTTCCCAGGAAAGGCTGCGGCAAAACAGGAAGTTATAAACAAGGCTCTCGATTCACTATTCTTCGCTGATGGGGGTGCACAGAACACAGGGCCCATTCTTGAGGATCAGACTCAATGATGCTAACATTGGCCTTGCTTGATGAACTCCTCCCCTGCAGCAGCGATCACCGGCTGACTTTACCTTAAGAGCACCACAGAGTTCAACAGTGTCTGCGTCATCAACCACGGTAATTCGGAAATTTGGAGTCTGCAGAAGTTCTTTGAAGAGGAGACCATTCTCCATGACTTTGCTGCCTGTCGAAAGGTGAAACAAAAAACATATATAAATAACAATCTCTAATCTTAATTTTCACACCGAATACATTCTAAAATAACTTTCTGCTTACTATAAAAGTAACATATGTTCACGATAGGATGTTTAGAAAATACATAGGAGCAGAAATAAGTAAATATTCTTTTTCCAATAGAGGTGATCATTTACAATTTGACATACATTTTTAACGGACTGAATGTGAATCTAAAGTTTTTCTTGGCCAGACATAATGGCTCATGCCTGTAATTCCAGCACTTTAGGAGGCTGAGGCAGGTGAATCACTGGAGGTCCGAAGACCAGCCTGGCTAACGTGATGAAACCCCATCTCTACTAAAAGAACCTGGAGGTGGAGGTTACAGTGAGCCGAGATCATATCACTGCACTCCAGCCTAGGTGACACAGTGAGACTCTGCCTCAAAAAAAAAAAAAAAGGTTTTTCTCAAAATTGGGAACATAACATATATGTGGTTTCATCATCGACTTCTGAAATTTCTGGAAATGCTGTCGGCCTACTTGTTTTTGCTGCCACTATATTCCTGTCCTTTGGGACAGTGTCTGGGATGTGAGGATGTCAGTAGTTCTGACATATTTATTATAGTTCTTTTTTTGTTTTGGAAACCTCTGATTAAAATACAAAAACAAACAAAAATAAAGTCTTACACACAAAGCCTGATGTGACATCTGCTGTGGCTGGTGGCATTCAGGGTGAGGCTCATCAAATCCACCCCACCCAGCTCCAGAGAAACTGAAAATCAGAATCAAAGGTTTACCAGCCAAGTCCTGCCTCCCAAATCATGTCACCACACAGAGATAGCAGAAGGCACACTGAATACTATACAGCACTTGGGCTCTGCCTGCCTCGAGGTGGGAAACCAGCTGTTCCCAAGCCTGTCTGCACAGAACAATCATCTGAGATCTTTACAAATACCAAAGCCCACGCCTCATCTCAGACCAATTAAATTACAATCTCTGGAGTGGAGCAGGCATCAATCGTTTTTGAAACTCCCCAGGTGACTCCAAGAGGTAGACAAGTGTGAAAGCCTCTGATATAACTCCTTCAGCTTCCGCTTCACTGGTAACAATACTACAGTACAGCGAAATGAGAATCCTATGTGAAAACAGTCTTTCAGGGGTAAGAAGCACTTAAAGATTCCATGTAATAATGATGGAGTCAGCTGACATTTGCACAGTTATGATTTTCTCCATGTTCTGACAGAGAAACAGAGTCCCAGAGAAGTTTGCCAACTTGCCCACGGTCAAACAGCTGGTAGGAGGAGAACCCAAATTCTAACCCATACACTGCTCTGGCCGCCAGGGCCCATGCTCTGAGTCTCTATGCTATGCCACCTCTTGGGAACGGGAAGAGAAGATAAAACAAGCAAAAACCAAACATACATCAGAATTAGAGCTGTAAATTTCCAAAGCACAAAAAAAGCATGATTGTCAGCCGGGCACAGTGGCTCACATCTGTAATACCAACACTTCGGGAGATGGAGGCGGGTGGATCATGAGGTCAGGAGATTGAGGCAATCCCGGCTAACACGGTGTAACCCCATCTCTACTAAAAATACAAAAAATTAGCGGGGTGTGGTGGCACACACCTGTAGTCCCAGCTACTTGGGAGGCTAAGGCAGGAGAATAGCTTGAACCCGGGTGGCGGAGGTTGCAGTGAGCTGAGATCACGCCACTGCACTCTAGCCTGGGCTGGACTGTCAACAATTAAAATTATACCAAGAAGTGATACAATGTCAAAATAATCCAGGCCATCTGAAGGTTGAGTGAAGGTGGTGAGTGGATGAAATGAGACTGGCCAGAAGTTAATCATTTCTAAATACAGGTGACGGGAATGTGAGGTTCATAATACTGCTCTCTCTACTTTTGTTTTCTGAAGTTTCATGATAAACCACAATATCTACCCCCACCTAGAAACACATTGTCTGTTCTGTAGCATTACTGTTCTGTCATTTAGCCGACTTCCCCTTTTCCAAATATTAGAACTATGTCAGTTTGTGCAAACTGTTCTCTTCCTTTTTAAGCAGTCCACCAGGCTGTCTCGGTGACTATGTCCAAGGCTACTGCCTCATCTGGGTTGGGTAAACCAGCTCCTGGCCCCAACATCATATTACGGCCTCACCGTGTCTCTCCTCTCACTGCTCAGTGCCTCCCACGTGAAGGGATGTCCCTGAACACTGCAGACCAGCCCTTCCCTTGAGTCACTTTAATGCAGCCTTCTACGCCTGGAAGCTTGGGTTGCTGGTGAGCAAACTGAGGACTGGGCAGGGGAAGGCACACTCTTGGCTTGCCATAGATACAAAGTAGGGTCGATGGGTTCCTCTGTGGCTGCAAGCAACACACAGTGTCCGTCCAAGAAGTGAGCTTGACTTACAACAATCTCATATTTTCTCAAAGGTACCTTTTAAAATTTATTATCTTAAATCATGGACAAGAGGCATTAACTTTATTTGTTTATGAGACAGAGTCTTGCTGTGTTGCCCAGGCTGCAGTGCAGTGGCACTATCTCAACTCACTGCAACCTCCACCTCCCAGCCTCAAGCAATTCTCCTGCCTCAGCCTCCTGAGTACCTTGGACTACAGGCATGTACCACCATGCCGGGCTAATGTTTGTATTTTTAATAGAGGGGTTTGGCCATGTTGGCCGGGCTGGTCTCGAACTCCTGACCTCAAGCAATCTACCTGCCTCGGCATTCTCAAGTGCTGGGATTACAGGCATGAGCCACCGCGCCGGGTCCATTAACTTTATTATTAATATCAAACCAGTCAGAGGCCAGTGTGGTGGCTCATGCCTATAATCCAAGCACTTTGGGAGGCTGAAGTGGATGGATTGCTTGAGGTCAGGAGTTCGAGATCCACCTGGTCAGCATAGCAAAATCCCGTCTCTACAAAAAATAAAAAAATTAGCCAGGCGTCATGGTGGTGGGGTGTGTGTGTGTGTGTGTGTGTGTGTGTGTGTGTGTGTGTGTTCCCAGCTACTCCAGAGGCTGAGGCATTAGAATCATTTCAGCCCGGGAGGCAAAGGTTGCAGTGAGCCGAGATCACGCCACGGCACTCCACCCTGGGCAACAGCATGAGATTCTGTCTCAAAAACAACAGCACCAACAACAAAAATCCTAGTCACAGTGGCATGCAAGCAGGGACTCAGGCCGTCTATACAGAACAGGTAATGCCAGACAGCCATGTGGTTAGGCTGCCCAAAAGTCAATGTAAACCAAGGACCGGAAAATCTCCTTTCTCTGTCACATCAAGTTTTAGAGGCAATTAACCTATTTAATAAAACTCAAAATCCTTATTTTAGTCTGTGATTCCATATGTGTTTGTGTGCTTAGCAGTTCCACAAGGAGCTTATGTATTCTAGACATCTGGCACCATGCCTGATACATAAGATGGTCTGAAAAATATTTGCGAAATGACTAAATAAAAGCCTCAGTCAGTGCTATGCCCCAAGAATGAAGGGAGACCTCACCACAAGAAGGCACTGTAGTATTTTGAAGCCTGAAACTGCCATTACTTTTTCCTCCACAGAAGACTCAAGTGGGCTAGGATTCCTGAACCTATCATAATTTAAAATGGTCCCTACGCCATCAACAAAGGACATCTGGATAACCACACTGCAATGATCAAATACAGAAAATGTAATGTTTATATAGTATTATCTAATACACAATCCACATTCAAATCTCACCAATCATCTCTGTGTTGCCTTCCACAGCAGCCCTCCCTGCCCAATCCAGGATCCCACACTGCACTTAGCGCTCATGTCTCAACTTTTATTTTTATTTTTTGAGACAAGGTCTTGCTCTGTCACCCAGGCTGGAGTGCAGTGGTGCGATCACTGCTCACTGCAGCCTCCACCTCCCACACTGAAGCAATCCTCTCATCTCAGCCTCTCGTAGCTGGGACTATAGGCGTGTGCCACCACACCCGGCTTATTTGCTGTATTTTTAGTAGAGATGAGGTTTTGTTCGTCATGTTGGCCAGGCTGGTCTCAAACTCCTGGACTCAAGCAATCCTCCCACCTTGACCTTCCAAAGTGTTGAGCTAATAGGCATGAGTCACCACGCCTGGCTTGCTAATATCTCTTTAGTCCTCTTTAATCCGGGACACTCCTTTAGCCTTTCACTGTCTTTCATGACACTGACTTTTTTGAAGAGTCAAAACTGTCATAGGCCTGTTGTTTTGTAACACATCTCTTCCTTGGGCTTGTCTGATATTTTCTCATGAGCAAATTCAGGTTATAGGCCAGGCACAGTGGTTCACATCTGTAATCCCGGTACTTTGGCAGGCTAAGGCAGGAGGACCCCATGAGGCCAGGAATTCAAATAAGACTCTACTTCTAAAAATTAATTAATTCAGGTTATATAAAACCATTTCATGTTCTATCTCACTTTCAATGTTTCACTTAATTTTTTTTTTTAAGAGTCTTCCTGTTACCCAGGCTGGAGTGCAGTGGCGTGATCAGAGCCACTGCAGTCACTGCAGCCTCTGTGGAACTCTTAGGCTCAAGGTGATCCTCCCACAGCAGTCTCCTGAGTAGCTGGGACTACAGGTATATACTACCACAACAGGCTAATTAAAAAAATATATTTTTTTCCTTTTTGGAAACTCCCAGCTACATTGTCCAGGCTGGTTTCAAACTCTTGGCCTCACAAGATCCTCAGCTTTAGCCTCGTGAGTAGCTGGTATTACAGGCATGAGCCACTCCACCCAGAAATGCTTTACTTAATTTAATTCAGGTCATCAGTGCCTACCACAGTCCAACCCAAGAGAAGGCATAGAAGCACTGGGGAAAGAAATGCCAGGGGGAAAGAAATGTAACTGTGTGTTTTTGTTTGTCTTTTCAAACCAAAAAATCCTGAAGCACCCAACTGGAAACTTTCTTTTAACAAACAGGGCTAGAGTACAGGATTGGATCAGGGATTGGAGATGAAGACTTAGCCTTACAGAATGAACTGGGAAAGGATTATTGGCAAATAGGATTGAGCTGGAAGAAACTAGTTAATAATCTTTTTGGAAAAACGTAAGTAATTACATGACAATTTCACAGGCTACATTAAAACTGCAGATGAGCAGGGTGTGGTGGCTCATGCCTGTAATCCCAGCACTTTGGGAGGCCGAGGCAAGTGGATCATGAGGTCAAGAGATCGAGACCATCCTGGTCAACATGGTGAAACCCCGTCTCTACTAAAAATACAAAACATTAGCTGGGCATGGTGGTGCGTGCCTGTAATTCCAGCTACTCAGGAGGTTGAGGCAGGAGAATTGCCTGAACCCAGGAGGTGGAGGTTGCGATGAGCTGAGATCACGCCAGTGCACTCCAGCCTGGGTAACAAGAGCGAAACTCCATTTCAAAAAAAAATTAAATTAAATCAAAAATAAAACTGCAGATGAATAAAAAAATTAACTGTAAAAGAATAAGACACATTCATATGTGTAAATACTAACATACATATACACACAAATGTTTTCCAGAAGAATATTCAGAAACTGCTAACAGTCAAAGCCATTAAAAAAGAAGGCAATCGTGTCCTTTGTAGCATGGATACACCTGGAAGTCACTATCCTAAGCATGTTAACACAGGAACAGAAAATCAAATACTGCATGTTCTCACTTATAAGTGAGAGCTAAACACTGAGTACTTATGAACATGAAGATGGCAACAACAGATACTGAAGACTCCTAGAGAGGAGAAAGAGAAGGGAGGGAAGGGTTTAAAAATGACCTATTTGGTACTCTGTACTGTGTAAGAGTAGAAAAGGCTTACTATTTCAGGAAACAGAAGACCCACATTTGTTCCTGGCTTCTACAGTAGTGTGTGATCTTGGGGCAGGTAATTTATTCTCTGACTCTTATTATTCACCTGAAAATGGGGATCATTCTAACCAATTTTTAGATCTCATTGGAATCAATGAGGATCCAGATGCTAGCAACTGTAAGAAAAAACAAATTTGGGTTTCTAAGGCCAGAAGTCCCTTACCATGGATGCAGCCACCTGTTCCTTGGTACAAGTAACCTTGCACTTTTGTATTTAACCTTAATAACTGATTACTGGATCACAGCAAGTCAGAATGGTCTCCTTGGCCATATTCATTTATATTCAGTCCGGAGGTTGTTGAAACTCTTTAGTCCCACAAAATAGCCTCCTTATATAAAATCCCCACTCCACTGAATGCCCACTTAGGAATGTTAAGAGGGACAGGGAAGAGTCTATTACAGAAAATATCAGAAATGGAACATGAACATGTTCAAACAGCAAACGTCCAGACTCCTGGGGCCCTCCCAGGCAGCACTTACCGATGGTGGTCTCACAGAACTTCTCCGCAGCCACCTCATTGGCAATGTTGGCTCCCATCAGCACACTGATGTCGATGCCCATCTTCTCGCGGATGATGTCAGAAATGAGTTTCAGCCCCTCTGGGCCCTCATCTATGCCCTACAAGCATGTGGAGAAGTTAGGAGAAAACGAACCTCCAAATCAAAGAGGCATGGGATCGCGGCTTCATAAGTAATCCAGATTCAGGTATCCCATGGCGACACAACTTGAAAAGTATCTCCTACTTACAAGAGTAAGTGTGTATACTGCAAATGTACAACTTAAGTGAAAATAAAACGAAGAAAATAAATGTGCTCATCACTCACGTTAAGAAATAGGACGTGAATGTCACCACTGAAGTCCCCTGTGTCTCCCCTCCAATCATCCTCCTTCTACCCCAGCTCTCCAGGGTGAACCACTGTCCTGAATGCTGTACGCATTGCTCCCTGGCTTTTCTTGATTATTTTACCACACCAGATGGTCCCTAAACAGTGTTATATATTATTATCCCTGGTATTTCAAGTCTATAAAGAGAATTGCGCCATTCACCTGTGATGCGCTGTCTTGCACCACATTATCATTTTAGAATTCACTCATGTGGCTGCATGAACCTTGTGGTTCGTTTCTGTTCACTTACTGCATAGAATTCCAAAATAAATCGTTCACATTTCATTTGTCTACTCTCTTGCTGATGACATTTGGGTTGCTCTGGTTTGTCTTCAGGAACATTCATCTGTAAATGCTCTGGGACAGCCTCTCTCGGGAGTTCTTAATCTTTTAAACGACATGGGTCTTACCCCTGGTAGTCTGGTGACATTTATGGACTCATTCTCAGAATTTCATATGCATAAAACAAAATACCTAAAATAGCCCAGGAATCCAATTATATTGAAATTTGTTAAAAAAAACAAATGTATGATAAAGTAATATATGCACTGTTTTATTAATGCAATTAGAAAAAGATGTCATGGCAGGTCTAATAATTACCACGATTTCCAAGTAGTGACAAGTATAAATGATACCTTGAGATATCTGAAAAAGGTATAAAGTGAAATGAAAGCCCTGTGACTCATATTGAAAACAAGGTCTCTGATCCTGCTAATACTACTGTTACTGAAACTTTGGCTGTGACTTACCTTCATAAATGAAGAAAATGCTCATTTCACTTAGAGGTTAAAATGAATTGGAATGCAAGGATTTTTTTCCTCCACACTTAAGTGCATGAACTTCTTGCATTCAATCTGTGGACTTTTGGAGGTTCATGGTTAAAAACACAGGCTTTAGGGTATATATCCAGGAACGGGCACTAACGGTTATTGATTTCCCAGCTAATTCAAACCACTGGTGGTTTCCAGATGGCAGGCTGAGCCCCCAGAGTGGACGGGATGGGGTGGCACAGCTCTGCACGTCACTGCTGCTGCAACAGAACACAGCAGCTCACTCTAAATCTCAGCTAAACCAGTCTTACATTTTTTATGACCTTTCGGGCATCTTTAAGAACACGAATGAAAACCTTCCCCCCTTCAGCTCCAAATCTCAAGCAGATGAAAGCATGAAAAAATGAAATTTCCTGGTAACCAACGTCTGGCCCTGGGCAGATGCACTCGAGTTACCTTGATGAGGGTGATTCCCAGTGCTTTCTTGGGCACTCTCCCAGTGATCTCGTCACAGATTCTGTGAATGAACTGGTGAGGAATGACAAACACCAGCAGGTCTGCGTCCTCCACGGCCTCGCTGAGATTTGAGATGGCAACCTGCAACCAAAAGGCAGAGAAGACCGTTTCTCCTCCCACATCAAACCATGCCTGTCCACACAGCTTCACTCACGGACCATTTATCAGAGGCCTACTATGTGCAGAGCATTGCACAGATAGACAAGGAAGGCAAGTGTGTTTGCTTGGCCTTCCTTATTCCTTGTGGGGTCTGAAGCAGAGGGTCCTGCGTCTGTCTCAGCTGGGCAGGTGATTTATCCTCTCCACTCCTCGACTGCCTTACCTGCAAAAGGCACCCCTAATAACACTGTGTGGGTTGCTCTCTGTTGCTCTCCCACCTCGCCAGCTCTCCATCCATTTTCTGCTCTTCTCTGCCCCACTCTATTCCCAGGAGGCTGCTTTCTCTAAACTGTTTCCCAGGCTCCCTTGTTCTCTGGCTTCCAGTGGGCTTCAGCCAATGGGAGGCACTGTCAGGAGATCAAAAGACGGGAGGAGAGACAGGCTGAGGGTATTTATCAGTCTCCTTGGGCCTCTTCTGCCCAGGCTCACAGTGGTTCTGGCCTGGCTTCATCCTACAGCTGCCCCTGCTGCCAGGCAGCCTCTCTCTAAGGCCATGTCTCTAAGCCCGCTTCAGGCCGGTGACATGTTCTTTCCCTGACCCTTTCAGGGGTGGTAATGGCTTCCTGCTGTTGCAAATCTCTGAGCACTTCACCAGCCCCTGTTGGTTCCCTCAACCTCGTGGCCCCTCAGTAAATGATCTCACACTAATCTCTCCTTTGAGAGTGCCGATGTGAGAAGTAAATGATACAGAAAACTGCCTGGCACTTGATATACACTCAATACGTGTCAGCTATTATGACGCTTTCTTTCCTTAAGGGTGAAGATCAGTTTAACACGGCAGAAGTGAGGGCATGCCTTGAGGACTCCAGGGCACATGGTCTCTGGCAGAGGCTGCTTGCTGCACCTAGTATCTGTTCTGCCTTCTTCCTCAGCATTAGAACCTCTAGTTTCGAGTTGGGCTCCTGAATGCCGGCAAAGAAGGCTATGTTTCCCAGTGCTCCTTGCAGCTTAGGTGTACCACGTGACTAAGTTCTGATCAAGGGAGCGTACATGGAAGTGCTGACTATGACTTCTAGAAAATGTCCTGGAAGGCCTTTCTCCCTCCTTTTGCCAGTGGGAATGTGAAGGTATGACTGGAATTCAGACAGTCACCTTGGACCAGGAGAAGGCCAGCAACAACACATGCTGAGATGGCAGAACAGTGGAATAAAGCGAGTCTCTGCCACTGTGATGCTGCACAACCACAAACCTCTTTACGTGAGGGAGAAATGGACAAGCACTGACCTTGCTTAGACCACTGTTGTTTTAGATTTTCTGTCATATGCATTTAAACTTACCTACTGATATAGTCTCCATTAAGCATTCCTGGTTCCCACAGTGAAAGGCCCTGGATGAAGATTCTTCTCTGAGGAAACCATGTCTGTCATAGGAGCATCAATCAGAGTGGACAAGCCTCTGAGGAAACTTGGTTTGGGGGCTGTGATGGAGACTACCAACTCCCAGCCAAAGTTCCTTGTCCCCTTTTCTGTAATCACAGACCTGAAAGCTGGTCACTGGCCATCTGGCCAGGGATTGTGTTTCCCAGCAGTCCTTGCAGCTACACATGGCCAGGGAACAAGTTCTCATCACTGGAGGTGAGACGGAGAAGTGGGTGCCACTGATAGCCCAGAGGCTTCAAGACAGCGGGTTGCCTCTTCCACACTTTCTCTTACCCCTTTCTGTGAGCTGAAAACCTCGCAACTTAGCCTTGACCCCAGCGAGGGACACAAGGCCTAGGGGACGCTACAGGAAAAAAACAAACAAACGTGGGACCAAGAATAATAGCATAAAGCATAGCACTAGAGTACTTCCGTGTGAGAGGAAGACAAGTCTCTTGTCCTTTGTCACATTATTACGTCTCTTGTAATATATTGGCCTGTCACCTTGACTAATACCTGTGCTAAGAGTTACTCCCTCACACAGAGGATTCCACCTAGAACATCTGAAGTTTCATTCCCTTATCCCTCCAGGGGGTGCGGAGGACTTCTATAATTTACTGCCCAGCCTCCATTCCCCTTCTTTCTAGCAGAAGTGTCCCTAAATTTCCCTTCAAAAGTTATCACTTCCCCATTTTAACCAAGCCATTTGGGTGGAATTGGCCCTACCCCATTCCAGGGATGGTTCTTCATTTGTTCAGGCTAAAGACACATTAAACAATTGGAGCCAACAAGAAACCAGCAGATGTCTTCTGGGAAATACATGCTTCCTTGTTCTTCAGGAGTAGCCACGGGTCTTTGAACAGTGTGGGATGCTGCTGTGAAGTCTGGAACTACCACATCCATGCTTACAAATGTGAGGGGAGAATCTACGCCATGGGGCTCCCATGTGAATGAAGCCAGCTTTGTGGATGGCAAAGCAGAGAAACAGAGGGAAAAACAGGGCCCTTTTAATATGAAGCTGCTGGTTCAGGCTGCACCTGAAGCCAGCCCTACCTGGATTTTTGGTTACATGAAACAAAACATTTAGCTTTAAGCTGGTTTGAATGACAACCTAGAGTCATTCCCCCTACAGCAGATCAAAACCCAAAGCTCAGCACTTCTCTCTCGTTAGTGGCAGACCCAAAGGCAGGGAAGGCCTATTTGCCTACTTTCCTCTTTGGAAGGGCTTCTCCAGGTTGGTCATCTAGGCTGGGTAGTCACAAGCGGCAAAGGTTTATTACCAAAAATCCACCTGCTACATTAATCCTCTCATACCTGGCGACTCCACCCCCTCCAACAAGGCATTTTCTGATTCTATTCCATTAACCTCCTGATGCAGGCCAGGTACCATGCTCATGCCTGTAATAATCCCAGCACTGTGGGAGGCTGAGGTGGGTGGATCGCTTGAGGCCAAGACTTTGAGACCAGCCTGGCTAACATGGCGAAACCCCATCTCTACTACAAATGTAAAAATTAGCCAGGCGTGGTGGTGCACGCCTGTAATCCCTTAGGAGGCTGAGGCATAAGAATCACTTGAACCCAAGAGGGGGAGGTTGCAGTGAGCTGAGATCCTGCCACTGCACTTCAGCCATCTCAAAAAAGAAGGAACTTGCAGGTGGTAGCGAATGTGATGGTCTCTAGGACAATGTGACTGGGGCTTATTCTCCTTGGTGGAATACTTAGGGTTTAACCCACAGAAGCAATGCGTACAATGGGAGCTGTATTTTTATGGTGTACATGGTCCATTCATGGAACATTATTCCTCTTACGTAGTATCTGAACAAGTTCTCATCAGCTAATGAGATCATGTGAATCTCATCTTTTAGAATAAAACCTTTTGCTAAGCCCCTACCCAACTTTCTGCTCTGAAAATAATCAGGATGCTGCTTTGGAAATGGCAACTGATTTTGTGAGCCTCCTGCCAAAAATCTTTCTGAGGGTGTCTGTCATCCCAGATCCTGAAATATGCGGGAAGCACAACTCTGAACAACAGGTCTTGCCTTCCAATGGCAAGTAGGACAAACAACTCAGAACGAAGGCATCAGGGCTGGTTTGCTTAATGTCCAGACTTTCAGGAGCCCAGTGCTCTTGGTCAAAGTTAATAAAAGCATAATAATAAATAAAAATCATCGGAAACAAAGCTGGTGAAGTCTGTGTGGGCAAGCCTGAAGGTTCTTCTGTGCCTTCTGGGTCCCACCATCACTGCCCACAGTGTGTGCTTAAGGAGGTTTTACCTATGAGCAACATGTTATCTGCAGTCATCAGAGCAGGCAAGAAAAAGATCTCCCTCCCATCAACGGCGACTGACCTCCTCACCCTCCAAAGATGCTATTTTATGCTCTTTAAAATCAATTAGGATGAAAATGCTTTCTCCATTCATTCATGACTATAAATAGGCTCACTGGATCAAACCTGAAGAAAAAGCATCTAAGTAGGAAAATAAGAACTGCTCTTCCCGGCACCAGAAATAATCACTGTCAATATTTTGGTACATTCCTTCCAAGGCCTTTTTGAGCCTACAGATATATCTAAAGGTATATTTATAGAATTAAAGTAACACTTTTATATCTTTTTAATATAGTATTATAACAATTTTCCTGTAATTCAAATGAAGACTTTTCCCCCTAAAATCCATGAATCTTGCCACATACCTTTTCATACCAACATCATAGTGATGACAGATAAACAAGGGTAAGCCAAATAAAAGGTACCAGGGCTGCTCTCATTTTTATCTAATCTCTTAGGGCCACTACAGTTATTTCTACCTCAAGTCTATGAATCTGCATGCTGAAACAATTCTGGTACCTAGCAAGAATGGCGTGGTTTAACGACGGTCCAGGTGCTGTGGGTGCACAAAGCATCATGGCCAGGCTCTACTGCCAGTCAGCTAACCGGATGCCACAGCAGCTCACCTACATTCTCTGGGGGATGTGCACTCAGATTCAACACAACACCAGGAGTAAAACACATAGCAGTGTGGTACCTGGGATGTAGCAGAGGCTCAAACATATTGTAATCCAATCCCCCTCTATTCTCATCTCACTTTCCGCCAAGATCTTAGGTGAAATTCACATACTTGGCCCTACATGCAAAAACATGACCCTTAGACAGAGGACCTTATCTGATGACGCTTATGTAAACATGCCACTGTTGGTAAGTAAGGCTGCTTCTGGAAAAACAGCTATCCACTGCCTGGATTCCCCAGTACATCACCAATAATATCAATTTATTATATACACCCATGATTCCCAAAGCATGGCTCCTGAACCAGCCGCATCCCCACTACCTGGGAACTTATGGGAAATGCACATACAGGGACCTCACCTGAAACCTGCTGAATCAGAAACTATAGGAGCGGGCCCACATATCCCTGGGAAGCTCTTCCAGTGATCTGAAGAACACTAAAATTTGAAGATCACCAGGGAAAACTACTAATCTAATGAAATCAAAGAGTTAAACCCAGGGAGGAGTTAACACTGAGGCTTCCCACTGAACTAATATTTTAATTTTAAGAAGGCTTTCAGCAAAAATTAATAGATATTACCCCACCCCTAGTGCCCAAATGTAAATGCTTAATTTTTTTAAAGTCTTGCCCTAACCTTATTCCCCATGTGATACCACCTAAAGCATTGAAACAAAACTCTTCATCCTGGTTTGTTCTTCCTCACCACATCTACTATCCCTGGCATTTATTCAGACCACAAATAATGCCAGGCACTATTCCAGGTGCTGAGGAGACATTAGTGAATACAGACCGATGCAAGAAACTATAATCAAAGATTTAGTGGGAGAGTCAAAAGGTAAACACTGGACTTCATCATTAAAAAGTCTGTGCATCAAAGGATACCATAAAGCAAGTAAAAAGAAAACCCATAGAGCATGAGAAAACACTTGTGGAGAAAGGAGACCTGTATCTAGACTATACAAAGAATTTGTATAACTCAATAATAAAAAGACAATCCATTTCTTAAATAACAAAGGATTTAAATAGACATTTCTCCAAAGATATACGAAGGACAATAAGCACAAGATGCTCAACTGGTTAGCCATCAGGCAATTGAAAAGCAAACCATGAATTAGATTCCCACTAGAATTAAAAAGTCAGATAACAGCAAGGGCCGGTGAAGAAAACGGAAACTTTATACACTGTTGATAGGAACGCAAAATGGTACAGCCACTTTGTAAAACAGTCTGGCAGTTCCTCAAAAATTATATCTGGCTGGGAAGGTGGCTCATGCCTGTAATCCCAGCACTTTGGGAGGCCAAGGTGGATGGATCATCTGAGGTCAGGAGTTTAAGACCAGCCTGGCCAACATGGTGAAACCGCATCTCTACTAAAAATTCAAAATTAGCCGGTGGCATGCACCTGTAGCCCCAGCTACCCACGAGGCTGAGGCAGGAGAATCGCTGGAACCCAGGAGGTGGAAATTGCAGTGAGCCGAGATCACACCATTGCATTCCAGCCTGGGCAACAGAGCAAGACTCTGTCACACACACACGAAAAAGGTATATCCACTCATAGGTACACACATGAAAGAACTGAAAACATATGTTCATACAAAATGTTGTCTATAAAGGTTCACATTGTACATAAAGGTATTATTCATAACACCCAAAGAGTGGATGCAACTCTAATGACCATACACAGATAATGGGTAAAGAAAATGTGGGACATCCATACAGGATACAGGATAGTATCTAGGCATAAAACGGAAGGAATATGTGCTACAACATGGATGAAGCCTGACAACATTATGTGCAGTGAAAGAAGCCAGTCATAGAAGACCAAAAATTTAAGATGCAATTTATATGAACTATTGAGAATAGGTAAATCTATAGAGATAGCAAGTAGATTAGTGGTTATATAGATCTGTAGGACAATTGGGGAAAACAGGAGGTGACTAAGAAAGAGTACAAGACTTCAAGGTGATGAAAATGTGTTGAAATTCACTATAGTGATGGCTGCACGGCTATGTAAATGTATTTAAAAAGACACTGAATTGTACGGTCTGTGGATTGTATCTCAGTAAAGTAGTTTTTTTAAAAGCAGGCAGAAGATGAGAGGCAATGGCAACTGTACTTCATGAGGGCGCTGAAATCTAAATCCTGGTGTCACACCCAGGCTGGCTGAAGCTGGAACAGGGAAGTGAAGAGCCCTCTACCTTGATAAGCTCCAAACACAGACTCTGGAAACAGAGCTAGAAAACAGGATCAACAATCAGTTTTATTTGAGACGGGAGTCTTGCTGTTGCCCAGGCTGGAGTGCAGTGGCGCAATCTTAGCTCACTGCAACCTCTGTCTCCTGGGTTCAAGCAATTCTGCCTCAGCCTCTCAAGTATAGCTGGGACTACAGGTGCGTGCCACCATGCCCGGCTAATTTTTGTATTTTCAATAGAGACAAGGTTTTGCCACGTTGGCCAAGCTGGTCTTGAACTCCTGACCTCAAATGAGCCGCCCGCCTCAGCCTACCAAAGTGCTGGGATTACAGGTGTGAGCCACTGCACCCAGACTACAGAAAATTATGAGCATTCTTTTTATTCAGATCTAAAGGGAAACCACAAACTCAGATGGGCTCAGCTTTTAGTGAGCAGGCAATGACATGGTGAAGTCAGTGTAACAGAAGGCTCCTATGTGGGAAGGGCCACATGATGACAGTGGACCTGAGAAAGGGTCAGGTGGGCAGCAGCTTGGGAGCCTCACGCTGAAAAGGCTCAGTCTGAAGTCAGCACATCAACCGACAGCATAAACAGTGAGCTAGTGTTGATGGAAATGCAACAAACCTCTCCTGCTTAAATTGGAAAGAAAAACAATAATTAAAAACTGGCCTTTTAAGCGGTTACCTGAGGTTGGAGGGTGAGGGACTGGGGATATGTTGGTCAAAAATTCCACTTAAACAGGAGGAATAAGTTTGAGAGCTCTAATAGACATCAGCAGGGTTCTGGGAGTGAATTCTTCCTCCCTTCTCTCCTGCCTCTGTCCACACCCGGTGACCAGGGGTGGGTGGTGGAGTCAGTCGTGTGGGGGCCAGGCTCTCTCAACTGCTCTATATAGATTCCTTCCCTCCCACTCTCCCTGTTCGCAGCACAGGCTCCAGCTTCACAGAACCACTCAGCAGATTCACTTCCCCCAACATTCCCCCAGTATTCACCGTAGGAGAAGCACTGTGCTACGGACTGGGGGTGAATAAAGAACCAGAAAGCAAGGTCACACACCGGGGGGCAGGTGGAGGCAGACAGACAGGTACACAAGGGACTGGTGCCAGGCATTGTGGGAGGAATTTAACAATGAGGCATGTAGTTTACCGAAGGGAAGGGGCAACCAATTCTGATAAAAATGAGAAAAGTAAAGCTCAAAAGAATAATCTGCCCCATGAACGGATTAGAGATGACCCCAGAGGCCTTTCCATTTTGGTGGAAACAGCTGCCTCTCTTATTCTCTCCAGCAGATATTTGGACAACTTAACTTCTAAGCTCATAATTCTAAACGTTCTTCCACCCCCACCAACTGCACCAAGAATAACTGTAGGGAAATGCTGGCTCACTCAAGTCCAGAGGAGAAAGTCATCCTTGTCTGGAAGGCAACAGATTCAGCATGCTCAGGGATGAGTCCACCAGGAATCAATCTGAAACATCACCCTTAGCTGTGTGACCCTGGACAAGTTCATTCGCCTCTCTGAGTCTTGGTTTCCTCCACTATGTAATCAAAATCATCATCTTAATAGGAAAACCAGTAGTATCAACCTAAGAGGGTTATTGAGAAGATTAAATGAGACTGTATGTGTTACTTAGCACAGTGCTTGACGCTAACGAATACTGTAACTAAAACTTCCCCACATTTATTGATTTAGAGATCAGTCTCCCCTGCTCAGTTCCTTGAGGAGAGCAACAGTGTCTTACTCCTCTTTCTGTCGCCAGCACTCAGCGCCGTGCATTGCATGCACAGTACATACCCGTAAGGTTTGGTGAGTGAACATATGCAGTAAAGGGTATTTCATTAACAAAGGGGATAAACTTCCTGGGTTAACCGTAGGAATCAGACAGCCACAACTGTCTGGTTTTCAAAGAGATTAGGATAGAAAGCCACAAAGGGGCGAATCTGATAACAGAAAAAATTCATAAATGCCACTCAGACAAGCAGCAGGGAACACCCTTTTCACTCCCCAAGCTCATTTCTTTCTTCCCCGGCAAGTCAATAGGAGGAGGTCAGGCAATAACCTGTATTTTTCTCTCCCAGACCTACTAAGCTTGAACTTAAACTGTCAGTCTTACATTTTCCCATTTTCTTCTATCTCATTCTGTAGTTTAAGCCTTGACCCTGGTTTTAATCACAGACCAGTGCACTAGCTGTCCTAGCGAGCTGACCTCATGCACTTAGAGAGGGTACACCAGGAGCTACTTGGGGAGTATGAACAGCCCAAGGCAAGTTTGTTAGCTCCAGACATGGCTGGCACTTTGAATGCCCAGGAGGAAGCCTGTTAGGGGCTGTACCTCGGAATGTGACTATATCTGGAAATGGTGTCTTTAAACAGGTAATTAACTTAATATGTCATTGGATGGGTCTTTATCCAACACGACTGCTATCTTTATAAGAGCAGATTAGGACGGAGACAGGATCACAGGGAAGACCCCATGGAAATACAGAAATGCTATCTACAAGCCAAGCAGAGAAGCCTCAGAAGAAATCAACCCTATCAACACCTTGATCTCACACTCAAAACCTCCAGGATTATAAAAGATAAATTTCTGTTGTTTAAGGCACCCAGTCCGGCACTTTGTTAAGGCATCCTTAGCAAATTAATAGGAAAACCATTTTCAGAGTCAGGAAAACCAAACTCAACCAACCAACTGGTACTGGAAAGGAACTGGGGAAAGGGAAGTAGCTTTCCCAGGTCCAAGTCCCGGGGGCTGCTCAGCCAAGAACAACTTGCAGAATGAACTAATGTACATTTCACCCCAAAGTCTTACCACATTTTCTGGCAGCTTGTGTCCAGGAAGATATTTTACATTTTCGTGGTCATTATTGATGATGTCTGTCAGTTTTCTGCCGTTAACTGTTTCTTCAAAGACCCACATCTTGACTGTGGAGGCAAACTTCTGAAGTTTCTTGACATTATTACCAATTATTTTTGCAACAGCTGAACCCCTACAAAACCGTGGAAAAGAAAAAAGTCCAGTCACTTGGGCAGAAGAGAAAAAGCATGCTATTAAAATTCAGAAGATTTGTGTTTTGATTCGGATTCAAACACTGAGCTTACTCCTGATGTGATGTGTATCAGCCCCAAGCCATTTCAAACAGTTGTTTTCACGTGGAATACCACTGCCTGTGACTGGGGAAGTGACTGAATCGGGTCTAAGTTCAAAAAGCACTACCCCTGGAAACTTGCAAGACTCAACCTATCGACAGCATCATAGGCAGAAGAGAAATCTACCCGAAAGCATGAAAATGACCCTAGAAGGTCTTCAAAGGACATTGAGATGTAGCTATGGTAAAATAAACTGTGTCTTGATGAACTGCAACAGACGCAAGGCAGAATCGCAAAGGAAAGACAAGAACCTGAGTGGATGCCAGGAGAGGAGCCGGGGGAGAGCACGGGGCCCAGCTGCCAAACAGTTTGCGGCCCCTCCTCCCCACGACCAAGCTGGCCTCTGGCCCTCAAGCTCCTTTTCTCTGCATCTCGATCCAGCAAACATGCTCTAGTGACGGCTCAGTCTCCCATAGGCTTTCCTACAAGGGACGAGAATGACCCTGGCTTGTGAATATCCGTCTTCCTGACAGCAGCGCGGGTCTGCCTGTGGTCGCTGCAGCAGAGGGGGTCGGACCAGGCACCTGTGTCCATCTCACAGGCGCCGTTGATGGAGCCAGGGTGGGCACTTGATCTTCGCTGAGCCTGTCAGCTTCCCCCTCTGGACTTTCAACTGAGAAAAAGCTTGTTTCTTAGATGACTTCCTGGTGTGAGGAGCAAATGAGAGAATGCAGCAAAGAGCATCTTGCAAATTCAAGTGTTAGCGCGTTTGTGACTTTTTCTCACAATTACTCTCAAGACAGTTTGATGAGATGGAGTAGCGGGTGATAACAAAAGGTGGGGCAGCCAAGCTGATGCCGAACATGTTGGAGACATTTATCTTCATCCCCTGATGAATCTGTTATTCTAACCCAATGATTCATCTCAGCATATAAACCTATGTGCTCTAACTACCACAAAAATTCAAATAATTCTAACAGATTCTAAGAGATTCTTATCATCCTTTTCCTGAGATAGAATGGATAGACTAAATAAATGGTTCTCAACTTTGGCTGCGCACGAGTTACCTGGGAGATTTAAAAGTCCTGAATCCCAGACCATACCCCAGGCCAATGACACCGGCACTTCTGCGGTGGGAACAGGCATCTGTACTTTTTAAAGCTCCCTGGTGACTTGATGTGCAGCCAGGGCTGAGAGCCACTGCTCTGTGCAATGATTAGAATTCCAGTATCCTCCTCTCTCACAAAAGAATAGCTGTAGATATCAAGGCTATGCAGCTGTACCTGTGCAATTCTTATTCTATGCCAGCAGAACAAGTTATTAGATAAATACCCATTAATCCAATTCTCCTACTGACGCTTTGTAGAAAGGAGGCCAGGAATCTCCCATCATCACTACCACCTCTATTCTAATCTTGGAAACAGCTGCTCACGTACTCACAGGGAGATAAAGGCTGTGGTTCACAGTGTTCCCTGGCATCAAGTAACTTTCACAAGGTCACAGAGAGCAAGTGTGGCTCTGGGGGACTGAGCATCAACTGACGGTGGGCTGTGAGACATCAGGAATCTAAGTCTGGTAAACCAAGTGGAAAAATAAACCAGAACCAGGAATCCCTCCCTGTGATTACTGGAATACACTTGTTTTCCCCTTTACAGCTGCCTTTTGGGGAAGCCAAACATTTGCAACCAGAGGCAAACCTGTAGTATCTGCTGCAATGAGTTGGGAATATTTATTTATTTATTTATTTAAACAGGATCTCACTTTGTCACCCAGGCTGGAGTGCAGTGCTATGATCACAATTCACTGCAGCCTCGACCCCCGCCCCCCACCCCTCGGCTCAGGTGCTTCTTCCACCTCATCCTCCTGAGTAGCTGGGACTGCTGGCACGTGCCACCACGCCTGGCTAGCGTTAGGAAAATTTAGGCAAACATTGGGACTGTTAAGAACTAGGCCCTCCAGACCATGTCTGTACGTCCTGTGGGATTCAATGGGGCTTAAAGTGACAGGATAAAAATTAATAAGGGAAATTTCAGTTATTTTACTCTTGAGGGGTCAAGACCTCATTCTGCCTCATTCCTGGTTTCATCAATACATTCCATTCACTCATTTATCTCAGTCATCAAATATTTACTGAACACCTACTGTGCATAATGCATTGGGCCAGATGCTGGTGATACAGCAGGGGAAAGGCAATGTGTTCTTTGCTCTCAAAAGCTCACCGCCCACTCAGAGATGAACAGCTAGAAGTCATTCCCGATGCTGCGTGTGATAAGAGGTGGAGGAAAGCAGAAGCAGCTGTGGTTAGAAGGGTACACTGCAGTGGACTGCAACACAGAGGACTTACCTGCAATCCATGTGATCCGTGACAAGTCTCCCAGCCCCAACCTTCTATTGAGAGAATCGTAACAGACAGCCCCACCCAGGGTGCAGGGAGAAGACACCGGGATGGTAGGAAAACCAAACCCCCACTGAGAAGCAATGCAGGCTTCGCAAATCAGGGCTGGGAAGAGCAGATGCAACAGTGCTTTCCACCCAGTACTCAGCTAACCGTAGACACGTGAGTGAGCCCAACCAGGCCAAGAACCACCCAACTGACCCACAGACTCATAAGCAATCATACATGCTTGTTATTTTAAGCAGCTGAGTCTAGGGGAGAGTGGGCTGCTGATGGATGCATAAATACAGCATCTTTGACACAACTAGAGGTAACTCCAAGTAATTCTTGGCCAAGCTGCTGGATTTGCCACCCAGGGATTGGCAATGTGGTGGGTGGGACTGGGGGCTGGGGTAGGTGTTCAGTGTTGAAGGAAGGACTGTGGAATTACGTTCATAGATGGAGAGAAACAAAACAATCCTAGTACCTTAAGGCCTGTTTTGTTCTCTCTATATAATTTATACAATAATTTTTGTTTGGTAAGGGTGGCAGGGACTCAAGAGGAGGAGGACCAGGCCTTAAAACACTATATTTCATTTCGTTTTAACCCCTTTAGTATACTCTCTCTGTTTGTTTGAGACAGGGTCCTGCTGTGTTCCCCAGACTGGAGTGCACTAGTGCAATCACCGCTCACTGTAGCTTTGACCTCCTAGGCTCAAAGGAATCGTCCTTCCTTGCCTCTCGAGCAGCTGAACTACAGGTGTATGCCACCAAGCCCAGCTAATTAAAAGAAAAATTTGTAGAGACAGAATCTATGTTGCCCAGGCTAGTCTTGAACTCCTGGGCTCAAGCGATCCTCCCACCTCAGCCTCCCAAAGTGCTAGGATTGCAGGCATGAGTCACTGCGCCCGGCCCAATCTCCAGGTTGAACTCAACATTTTCTCTGTTGTCCGCTTTTATCTGTCTAGTTTATAAACACTCAAAAAGTATAACCTTCACCTAAAACTCCTTTGTGCTTCTGGAATAGTACTAGACGCATTCGTCCCAAGTGTTACCTCTTCTGACCAATGTGAAGGAGCAGCTTCATTTTGCTCGTGGATCAAACAGAGCAAGAAAAGCGTGCTGGAGGAGCCGGAGGGTTTCGAAGGGACCAGAGTCTACTTATAAGTGACATACCCTGTTCTGAAGAAGTGTGACTGGCCAGCAGAAGGCCAGTCCAAAAACATGCACCGATACATCAGAACTGAGTTTAAAATAAAAGTACTGACTACAGTCCACAAAGGTGGTTTGCATGTGAACAGGTCATAGCTGGGGTCCTGTGGCCACGCTGCTGGCACTCTCCGTGTCCCAGCTGGTTTCTGTGCCCCTACACAAGCATAGGCACAGGCGTCTGTCTCTCTGTCTGTCTGTCCGTCTTTCTGTCTCTCTCTCTCTCTCTCTCTCTCTCCCGCATATCTATGTCTATCTACCTACTTACCTATTTTTCACCTCCTGCATATCTGTCTGTCTGTCTTTTAACTCCTGCATTTTGAGAATCGAGGGCACAGGCCTCCACATGGCTGGGTCAAGGGCATGAGCAGCCACCTCCACACCTGGCTCAGCTCATCCAGCTATGAAAGGATGGCAGGTAAAGTTCCTTGCATGTCTATGATCAAATCCAGTGCTTCCCAAAGTGAGAAGTGGGTACCAGGGATACACATGAAAGCAAATGACACTGAATCACTCATGCTCTTTTCAGCTCTCATGGTCCTGAGCGAGTGCAGAATGTCTCACTGCAGTGCCATTAAGTGGCTACCATCTCTCTGGCATGTGCTAATTTCCGTTCTTCACAAACTTTGAAGAGGCCTCGGACTCTGAGCCTTGGCAGGTATTAATATCTGGCAAGAATTTTATAACACTGCCTTGTTTTCGTTCTGCTGGGTTTTGTTGTTGTTACTGTCTACTTGTGATATTTACTATAGTGATATGAAGTTGTCTTTTAAAGTAAATATTTAGGCTGGACAGAGTAGCTTCCACCTGTAATCTCAGCACACTGGGAAGCTGAGAAGGGAGCATTTCTGGAGCCCAAGAGTTTGAGACCAGCTTGGGGAACATAGTGAGATCCTGTCTCTACAAGAAATAAAAAATTAGCTGGGCGCGGTGGCTGTACCTGGAGTCCTAGTTACTCAGGGGGCTGAAGCGAGAGGATCAGTTGAGCTCAGGAGGTCAAGCCTGCACTGAGCCATGATCATGCCACCACATTTCAGCCTGGGTGATGGCGCACAACCCTGTCTCCAAAAAATAAATAAATAAGCTTTTGAAGAAAAAATAGCAAACAAATAATACTACAGATACGAAGCAGTTAGAGCCAAAGTCATAAGGGTGCTGCCTGCGTGATGCATTTAACCCTACTCAAACTCTTCATCTTGCAGATTAAGACGCATGAGACTTCATCTTGCAGATTAAGACGCATGCGATTCACCTCGCATCCTACAACCAGGTATGGTCCCCGGCTGGGTCTTACCTGGGGAGGAGGTTGAGGAGCCT